CCGGTGAAGTTGGTGGGGGGAGTGGTCGATGTATGCGCGGTACCCACATGTACGAGGAAGGTTGGTCCCAGCCCAGGATGTCGTGTTCCAAGTCCACCCAGCGCTTGGTACCGGGGGGGGCATGCCATTGTTGGATGTGGGCCAGTTGGGCAGCATGGTAATATTGCTGAAAATTGGGTAGCCCCAGTCCTCCTCTGAGTCTTGGGGTGTACATAGTAGCTCTGCGTATTCTGGGTCTTTTGGCTTTCCAGATGAATTTGTCTATGGCTGCCTGGAGGCGATTGAAGTCCGTTTTGAGTATCGGGATGGGCAGCGTTTGGAAAAGATAGAGGAACCGCGGAGGAGGTTCATTTTGATGGTGGTGACTCTTCCCAGCCACGATATTCCTAGCCTGTCCCACCGCTGCAAGTCCGAGTACGCCGTTGTGAGGAGTGGCGTGTAGTTGAGGCCATAGATGTCGTCCAGTGTCGGCGCTAGTTTGGTGCCTAGGTATGTAAGGGCGGTCGTGGTGATGCGGAAGGGAAAGGAGCCGCGAAGCAGACGGAGTTGCGAGGGTGATATTGTGATAGGCATTAGCGTTGATTTAGTTGTGTTGATTTTATAGCCGGATATGGTGGCATAGTCGTCGATGATAGAGAGTATGGCGTGTAGGGAAGGGACAGGGTCCGTCAACGTTAGAAGTACATCGTCTGCGTAGGCTGCTACGGTGTACGTGTCTTGCCTGATCCGAACTCCCTGTATGTTGGGATGGGTGCGTATAGCTTGAAGCAATGGTTCCAGGGAGATTGCAAAAAGAAGTGGGGAGAGGGGGCATCCTTGCCTAGTTCCGTTAGCTATGTTAAAGGTTTGGGCTTCGACGTGTGGGAGTAGGAGCTGCCCTGTTGGGCGATTGTATATTGCCCGTAAGATGTTCAGGAATCCTATCGGGAAGTTCAAGTGTGCCAGTACCCCGAACATATATGGCCAGAGAAGACGATCAAATGCCTTCTCGGCATCCAGCGAGAGCACTACCGATGGGATGTTACGGTGCCTGGTATACCAGATCGTATCGTAGGCTCTCCTGGTATTGTCGGCCGCCTGCCTTTTGGGAATGAAGCCGACCTGGTCTGGGTGGATCAAGGATGGGAGGTGCTGGTTGAGGCGGTTGGCAAGGGTCTTCGTGAGTATTTTCAGGTCGGTGTTTAAGAGCGATATTGGGCGATAGTGTCCCGGGTCAAGCTGTTCCTTCCCTGGCTTGGGTAAGAGGCATATGTCTGCTCGCAGCATGTCAGTGGGGAGTTTGTGTCCCTGCAACAGCGAGTTAAAGGCCTTACATAAATGTGGTATTAGTATGGTCTGGAACGTCTTATAGTAGATGGCTGTGAAGCCATCCGGTCCTGGGCTTTTTCTGGGTTTCAGTGTCTTGAGGACCAGGGCGATCTCCTCGGCCTCGATGGGTGTGTCCAGCATGGCTTGTGCTCTGCTGGATAAGGTGGGTAGGTTGAGGGGTCGTAAGAATGAGGAGGTGGCTTCCGCCTGGTTTATTTCCCCCGTGGGCGTTGGAGTGGCGTGGTTGTACAAGTCTGTATAGTATTGAAGGAATTCCTGGGCTATTGCTTCTGGGTTTGTCGTCGTTTCACCAGACCTAGTTCGGATTTTCGATATCGTCTTATTTTCCTGACGTTTTTTGAGGCAGCGTGCCAATAGTGAATCCGCCTTGTTGCCCTTTTCATAGAATCGTTGCTTGGACCACATGAGATTCCTCGCCACGTCTGCTGCTGAGAGTTGTGTGATGAGGTCCCGTGTCGTTTTGAGCTGCGTCAGGAGCGAGTCTGACGGATTTTGTTTATGTAGGGTTTCAAGTCTTGTTAAGTCAGCCAGGGCGTCTACCATTTTCCGTAGGCGTTGCTTTTTGAGGGCCGTGGCTATTGCTATTAGGTGTCCTCTGATCGTTGCTTTATGGGCTGCCCAAACCGTTGTCGGCGCCATGTCGTCGGTGGCGTTGAGTTCAAAGTAGGTTTTAAGGTTTTCCGACACTGTGTGGACCGTGGCCGCATCTTTGAGTATCCATGGGTTGAGTTTCCATCGCCACGGGCGCGCCCTTAGTGGGATCTGTATCGTCAGAGCGACTTCCGCATGATCGGACCACGCAATGTTTCCAATGTGTGTGTGAATGGTCCAGGGCTGGACGGCTGGGGATATGAGGAAACTATCGATACGGGAGTATGACTTGTGTGCGTGGGAGTAGAAGGTAAAGTCCGCGGCGGTCGGGTGTTGGAATCTCCAGGCATCCAGTAAAGGGGTTTCCAGTAGAAAATCTGCATATAATTTGTCGTTCCTGGTCGAGGAGGGTGCGCTACCGGACTGAGATCTGCGGTCTATGGCAGGCGTGTGGGTCGCATTTATGTCTCCTCCTATGATTAGGTGTTTGGCTGAGAGGCTAGTGAGGTGGGTCTTAAATGTGTTCCAGAATGTTGCATCCGGGTTGGTAGGGGCATACAGGGAGCATATTGTTAGTGTAGTCGTGCCCGCTCGTCCTGTGAGGAAGAGGAATCTCCCTGAGGGGTCTTTGCGGGTTTGTATATCATCCAGAGGGCACGAGTTTCGCAGCAATATTGCAACTCCTTTCGTTTTTGCTTCTGGCGAGTTGGCCAAATAATATCTCTTATAGTGCCTATTAAGTAGCGGGAACTGTTTGTGATCGGTGAAGTGGGTTTCCTGAAGTAGGACGACGTCCGCTCCCGTGCGGTGGGCCCAACGTAGTATCCCATGTCTTTTCCCTGGCGAGTTGAGTCCTTTGACGTTGAGGGAAATGAAGTGGATTTGGAGGTTCCGCGGTGCCATACTGGTGCGTGGGGGTGGTCACGATCCGGCAGTGGTGCGAGGGGCGCCGGTTAGCTAGGCGTCCGTTCGGGGTGCGTTGGGCAGTCGAGTCTGAGTGGGGTCGGCAGGGGTGGTGGAGGGTGGTAGCAGGGGTGGGTTAGTAGGGTCCCGCCCGCGCGGGTCTTTCGGGTCGCCGCTGACGCCCTGCGGGGGCGGTGTGTGAGGGACTGGGCTTATCAAGCTGGCCAGTCGAGGTTAGGCGGGGGCCTCGGTTGTCCGTCCCAAGGTCCGCGCGGCAGTCCTCGGGAGTATCGAGGCCGGTGGGAAGGGGTGTACACAAGTGGTGGCAGGTTCCGCCCACGGCCTGCCCATGGTCCTGTTGCTGTGGCTGAGCCTGGGGTTGGATGGGTGGTGTATGAGGGCTTTTGGGTGTGTGTCCCGTCGTGTGGCGGGCGTGTGCATTCTCTTCGTGAGGCGGGTGTATCAAAAATTCTGGGTGGTGTACCCGCCGGATATCGCTATCCCTGTGTGTGTGTGTGTCAGGTGTCCCTTTGTGTGTGGGTCCTGCGTGCGCGTATATCCCTATTTTGGGGGTGCGTATGCATGCCATAGGGACGAGTTCTGTCCTATTAAAGCTCTGATTTGCCAGTAGGGTGTGTCCGGAAGGGGCAGTGGAGGGGTGACCTCATGTCGTGGGTGGTGGTGAGATGGCCTGGAGTGTGGGTTGTCTATTGCGGCCTTATCGGCTCTCAAGAGGGCCTGGTTGTGCCTCCGCGGTCTGAGGTTCAGAGTGTGTGTCGTGGTCTGTGGGAGCGGGTAACAGCCGGTTCCTGTGTAAAACATGCATACATTTACAATGCAACATTATAACGTTATAACATTTGAACAAATTGTTAATGCCTTGAGCAGAGGTATCAAAAAAAAAAAAAGGAAGGGGGGGTCAGAGGGAGCAGTGGTCTGAGCTGGTGCTCTCTATCACATGTAGGAATTGTCCCGTAGGTCCACGGTTTATCCAAATAGCGGTCGTGTGCGTCTATACCTAGTCTGCGGTTCGGCGTCCGGTCAACTGGTTAGGGGTCGGTCTGCCTTTGATCAGGGTGTGTGTGAGGCCTGGGAGCAGGTGGGGCAGTGTTGTGTGTGGTTGCTGCCGGCTAGTCGTGCTTGATGTGGGCATGCGCTGTGCATGTGATGGTGGTGCTTGTCCCTTGTCCGTGAGTCATGTGTGTGGAGCGTCCCTGGCTCCTTGCCCCGTCGGGCATGTGTAGGGCTAGTGGGGCCATGGTATCGGTCATGTGCCTGTTGTCGGGAGGTCGGGGTTGGGGGGGTCAGCGGTTGCTGCCGGTGTATGGTCTCCGTCAGTCAGAGTGCGGGGTGCAGGTCATGCCGGAGGGGCGGGTTTGTCGGTCCCCCGTCGCCCCGTCATTCCCGTCACCCCCCCCTCCCCCCCGGAACTCCCCCCCCATCCCAACTTCTGGGTCCCTGCCCGCCCCGTTGGAGGTGGTCTGTGGGCGATAAGCGCTTCACAGGATGTTTAGGGGATCGTGTGTATGCTGCCCCCTTTAAACCATACTTGCGGTGTGCGGCCCAATGTCCAAGGCATAGAGTCTCATGGTGATGGGGTCCTGTGGTGGTAGGTGCCCGGGAGGGGGGTGCCGGAGAGGAGAGTCTTGTCAGGCGGGGAGGCAATTTCGCCCGTCAGTTGATGCCTTCTCCCGTTCATGTCAATCGGCGTGTCGGGGGGATTGTCTCTGTGCATGTTCCTTTGTGCTGGAAACTTTGGTGTAGCCTGTGATGGTGTGGCCTTGAGGATATGTTCCTGTGGTGCCGCTGGGAGTCCGGGCGATGTCGGGTGTGCTCTGGGGCTGGAGCCGGGGGTAGGCTCGGCGTTGGGGTGTTGTCGCTGAGCTCGCCGGGGCCTGTCCATGCTGGTGCGTCTTCCGCCCTTTGGTTGTGGTCAGGGTCGTTCTGTGCTGTCTGAGTGGTCTAAGTGGTGCTGGTTTCCCCGGATCCGGAGTGAGCGCCTTCTGTGCAGCGATGCAACTGTATAATATGTCTGTGCTTGTCGCTGGCTGTTGGTGGGTCCGGCGGGGCATAGGGGAGCCGGTGAGACAAGGCAAGCTGGGGTGAGAGTGGGGTGTAGGGGACGCGGGGTCGGATAGATGTGTCAGCGCCACCGTCCCCCCAACCCTCAGGTTCTCCTAACGTGTTGCGCCTGGATTCTGCAGTGCCGTGTTGCGATGGGGACGGTCACCGGTCCTGGCGGGCGGGTTATTGCTCGGTGGTTGTCGTGCTGAGGATTCGGCGTTGGAGTGAGGTGTTTCTGGGATTTGCGGTAAGTTCAGCTGGGTCAGAAGCGCAGGGATTTCTTCCGGTCTTGTGAGGGAGTGGAACCTGCCATCTTTGCGTATAATTATTTTGAAAGGGTGACCCCACGCGTAGCGGAGGCCGTGGCTGCTTAGGTGTTGTGTGAGTGGGCGTAGTTCTCTTCGGCGTTTCAAGGTGGTGGGAGCCAGGTCTTGATATAGTTGTACTGGCGCTCCCTCTACCTCGATGGGGGTATCCCTGGCTGCGCGCATTATGCGCTCCTTGATGTGATAGAAGTGGAGGCGCACCACTATGTCCCTGGGTACGGCAGCGTTGGTGCTTGGGGCTCTGAGGGCTCGGTGTGCCCGGTCCATCAGTAGGTCAGCTGTTGTAGCCTCCGGTAGGAGGTGTTGAAATGCCTCCGTGTGGGTGTCAGTGAGTAGGTCGGGCGACACCGATTCAGGGACGCCCCTGACCCTGATATTGTTCCTACGTGTTCTGTTATTTAGGTCTTCGTTGGTGTCTTCGAGGGAGCGTAATTGATCTCTCAGGTGCAGTATTTCACTGCCATGGGCCTGCACGATCTCCTCTGTGTCCGCCATTTTGGCCTCTGCGGCCTGTGCACGGGCTGACAGGTCTGCCATACCTTCTAGTATGGGGCAAATACGTTTGTCCAGTTCTTCGGCCACAGATTGTTTGAAGTCAGCCAGGAAGCCCTGCATGTCCCTCCTCGTCAGCGGTGCCTCCGTCCTCTCCGAGGGTGCCTGGCTGCTCATTTCGGAGTCTGAGTCCGACGGGAGGGTTCTTCGGCCACAGATTGTTTGAAGTCAGCCAGGAAGCCCTGCATGTCCCTCCTCGTCAGCGGTGCCTCCGTCCTCTCCGAGGGTGCCTGGCTGCTCATTTCGGAGTCTGAGTCCGACGGGAGGGGCTCCAAAGATGGCGCCCGCTGTTGTTCAGGCTTCTGCCTGAAGATCGGTGCAACGGAGGAGTTGCGGGCTTTCTTCCCTCCGCCCATGGGGAGGGTGAGTGTGGGTATAGGGGGGGGGGAACGTGGGGTGTTTTCGGGGCTCAGGTGCTGCTGATAGCGGTGGTTTCAGGCTAGGCCGCGGCGGAGCTCAGAGTTTATGCGGCCATTCACTCGCGGGGTTAGGCTCCGCCTCCCCTCCCTGTGTCCTTCTTACTCCCCCTCCCTGTTTCCTTCTTACTCCCCTCCCCCTCGTGTTCTTCTTACTCCCCCTTCCACTCCCTGTGTCCTTCTTACTCCCCCCTCCCTATGTTCTTTTTACTCCCCTCCCTCCCTCCATCCCTAAGTTCTTCTCACCTCCCCTTCTCTGGCTGTAGCGTGGCCGAGCTCCTCTTCCTCCTGGCTGTCAGTCATGAGTGCTCACTCCCTGTCAGTCCGGCTGGGAACAGGAAACTGAATCTCCTGTTACCGTGCGGTACCCGGCCGGACTGACAGGAGGAAGAGGAGCTCGGCCACACTACAGCCAGAGAAGGGGAGGTGATGACGAGGAGTGCTGCTGCCACCTGAGGCTCTCTATAGAGCGCTCAGGCGGCTGCAGCCTTATAGTAAGCACCGGCTCTGCTTGGGGCCCTGGGCCAGCTCGGGGCCCCAAGCAGATGCTTGGTTTGCCTGCCTGCTAGCGACGGGACTGCCACTATAGGCACCCAGTCGCCACTATAGGCACCCAGCTTAATTAAGTGGTTTGGGTGCCAGGTCCATCTAGGATTAACCCTGCCTGCTTTAAACATACCAGTTTCAGAGAAACTGCTGTGTTTACCTATGGGTTAATCCAGCCTCTAGTGGCTGTCTCATTGGCAGCCGCTAGAGGCGCTTCCGCACTTCTCACTGTGATTTTCACAGTGAGAAGATGCCAGCGTCCATTGGAAAGCATTGAGACTTTCCTGTGTACTGCCTGAATGCGCGCGCGCGCGGCTCGTGCCGTGCATGCACATTCAGCCAATGACGGGGAAAGGAGGCGGAGAGTCCCCACCGCCGAGGGAGCCCGGCGGTGGAGAAAAGGTATGTGTTCCTCACCCTAGAGCCCGGCGGGAGGGAGACCCTAAGGGTGGGGGGGACCTAGAGACCCTATAGTGCCAGGAAAACAAGTGTGTTTTCCTGGCACTATAGTGGTTCTTTAATAAATAGGTGCTATACCAACATCCTGTTCCCTCCCTTTTGATTCACATTAGTTTCAGTTTGGATTAGTTTGTTTAGATTTGTTGGCTCCTTATTTGATGTTTTGGCCTCTTGGCACTCTAATACTTATTTCCTTGCATCTTTGGACAGACTGACTTGTTTGTTTATTACCTTCTCTGTGCATAATTATGGAGGGCCTGCAAGCCACTGAAGACTGTACATAAAAATATAAAGTATCAAATAGTATCTTGTTAATGCCACAGTAAAGTAGATCTAGTAAAAGTATGCAATGTCTCCCAGTTTGGCTTTATTTCAGTATCCTTTCCAAAAGAAACATTATCGTGCAAAATAGTACAAAGGTGGAAAAAAGACAAACATTGAAATTGTTAAGTACAATGAATAAACATATCTAGGTTCTAGCCTATCTATGGTAAATCTCCTTAAAGGGACACTATAGTCACCAGATCCACATCAATTTAATGTAGTGGTTCTCGTGTCTATAACCTGTCCCTGCAGGCTTTTCAACGTAAACTCCACCAACTAGTATCCCTAGTAGTTAAGGTGCTTCCTGCGTGCAGTGAGCAGCATGGCGTTTGGCATCTATATTCCCTGCATGGAGGCGCTGCACGCTTCCCATAGAGATGCTTTGAATGGGAAAGCATTGGATTGTCTGAGATCATCAAAACTGATGATCTCAACCATGGATGGCCAGTCGCTGCGAGACCCATTTGGTGTGGGGGAAAACGTGAGTAAAATCACCTTTAATCTCCGGAGAGAGGGGGAGCCAGGTACCTAATGCTGCATTCCAGTATTATAGTGTCAGGAATACATTTATTTCATCATATCCCTAAAGAAGTTCCGCAGGAGAGACGAAACGCGTTGGATTTTATACTTTGTTTTATAATTGTTTATTTGGTTCTGTTTTTTACTGCTACTTCTGGAAGACCAATTATCATCTTTTGCTGCTTGAGGTCCACAGTTTGGGGGAGATATGCAAATACTTTTTATGCAGTTTGCAAGTGCAATCATTTATTAAAAATAATTTTACACTTTGCAATATTGCACTATTTCTCTTTTTTTCCTTCAAACGTCAGAATTATTCTGCCTGACATCTTCTGGAGATACCCCTATGGGGAGATGTGCACAGTATATTATTCCATCTTATATTAATTATTGTCTAATACCAGGTTGTAGCTTACATTCAATCTGTGCCCAGAGTTTCTTCTCTCTTTTATCTTTTATATATCCTTTTTGATTGATTGAGGGAAAAGTGTTTTGAGAAAAACATTTAAAATGCTAAACAGTGCAAAATTATAAAATAAAGACTCCTAGCAAATATTGTCTGCACGCTACTGACTTAAAACTGATAATGGATCAGAGCAAGGGACTTCAGGGGCATCGAAGCCACAGGGCTACAAAGATACATGCATTTATATATATACAGGCCCCACTCCAGACTAGAGATTACTTCCGCTACTTACAAATTAGGGACTTCGCTCACACTCTGGAGACCCGATTAGCAGCACGACACCCATTAACGTTCTTTGAAAAATTATGCTATGAGGAAACAGCCCAAACCAAACTTATCACACTGCTATACCAGCACATCAACTCAGAATAAGGGGAGTGGAGAGCCCTCAGATACACAGACCAATGGGAGGCCGATCTGGGAGAGGTTCTAGAAGGGCTAGACTGTCAGGAGATATGGAAGGCATGCACCAAAGTATCCATGTGTGTCACACTTCAAGAGCAAAGCTACATGACACTCTTTAGGTGGTACACGACACCGGTAAAACAATATCACATGCAACTGACCCATACAGATACGTGCTGGCATTTATGTGTAATAAGGGCAGCTACATAGACATGTGGTGGCAGTGCCCAAAGGTAAGGGCATATTGGGAAAAGGTGGTAGCTCTTGATTCCCAGGTACTTCAGAGGCGACTAGAACTGGACCTGTGGGGTTGTCTGCTCTCCAGACCCACTGAGGGACTGAACAGAAGCTGCTAAATATGGTGTACCTGGCAGCACGACAGACATTGTCACAAAAATAGGCTAGCCTGGACTTACCTCACATGACCCAAGTACTCACGAAAGTAAGGGACAATTATCTCATGGACAAACTAACTGCACAGGTCCGGAACACCGTTCCCACCTTTAACAAGGTGTGGGAGCTGTGGGAACAATACGATGATCTGCACTAGACACATGAGAGACACCCAATCACGCACACACCTCCTTACATACTAAGACCCGACACTTTAACTAAGGGAACATAACGAATACCCTCTAGAATCGCAGTGTTGTTATTTTACATTTCTGTTTTGTTAGAAAGTTACTAAGTTATTATGTAATTTATTATGTATATTAATTGTAAAATACTGGCAAACTACTATGGTACAGCACTCCAAATGGCACTAACATGCATTACCACTCAATGATCTTTTCAGGTATAAACTATACTATGTATAATACACTTGTGAACATTGGCTTCTGCACAAGCCTTGGAGTATACCTCTTTTTTACTTTCTGCCAATTGAAAAATAAAGTATTTAAAAAAAATAAAACCTGATAATGGATGTCTCCAAAAACAACAAATAATAATTATAATGAGGAGCACAAGGTTTAATGAATTACATTATTTAAAATTAAATAATAAGATAAAACCATTTTTTATACATTACAATGCTCTGTTAAAATAATTTAATGCATTAATGATACAGACTAAGTATATTCGTAATACCTGGATACATAGTGAAATCTGGGAACTGCTTTTGCCCTCTAGCTGGTCACTCTAAGCACCATTACAGCAGCCAGTGAATTAACTAAAAGTCGCACAAAGCTGATATTGACAAGACAAGAAGTAAGTGACAAAATGATCAAAATGTTTGACTCCTTAATATGGTATATTCCCAGAGGAATCCTCATCCACTACAGGGAGTGCAGAATTATTAGGCAAGTTGTATTTTTGAGGATTAATTTTATTATTGAACAACAACCATGTTCTCAATGAACCCAAAAAACTCATTAATATCAAAGCTGAATATTTTTGGAAGTAGTTTTTAGTTTGTTTTTAGTTATAGCTATGTTAGGGGGATATCTGTGTGTGCAGGTGACTATTACTGTGCATAATTATTAGGCAACTTAACAAAAAACAAATATATACCCATTTCAATTATTTATTATTACCAGTGAAACCAATATAACATCTCAACATTCACAAATATACATTTCTGACATTCAAAAACAAAACAAAAACAAATCAGTGACCAATATAGCCACCTTTCTTTGCAAGGACACTCAAAAGCCTGCCATCCATGGATTCTGTCAGTGTTTTGATCTGTTCACCATCAACATTGCGTGCAGCAGCAACCACAGCCTCCCAGACACTGTTCAGAGAGGTGTACTGTTTTCCCTCCTTGTAAATCTCACATTTGATGATGGACCACAGGTTCTCAATGGGGTTCAGATTAGGTGAACAAGGAGGCCATGTCATTAGATTTTCTTCTTTTATACCCTTTCTTGCCAGCCACGCTGTGGAGTACTTGGACGCGTGTGATGGAGCATTGTCCTGCATGAAAATCATGTTTTTCTTGAAGGATGCAGACTTCTTCCTGTACCACTGCTTGAAGAAGG